AATATATGAATTTATTTTATTTAAACTTTATTTAAATCAAAAAATTAAATAATCAAATAACTCAAAAATCCTGCTCAAATGTCAAATCCTTGTCATGTAAGCATGACATGGCAATATTTTGCCATCCAAGCAGCCAAGCGGGTGTGTCCCAAACGGCAGTTAAGCCCGGCGACGGAGTCTCAAACGGCAGTTAAGTTGGCGTAAGAAGAAGGGCTTAATTGCTTTGTTCTCAGAGTTCAAGGGTTTACATGCATTAATTAAAGTCTAGGGGCTTAATAGCGATTCTGGGGTTAGTTTAGGGGCTTAACTTATGGTTTTGCCAAAAATAAAAACCCTCTCAATGCCATCACTAGCTTCTCTTTTTACATACAAGAACTGAAAATCCATACAATAAGCATTAAAAAAATCAGATGACCAACAAAACAAATGAAAAGTACATTTCGAAAATGCATAATTGTAATATGAATTCTGACTCAATCAAGTGCAAGGTTCAACTGCCCTAGACAAGAAGGCAGTGAAGAAGTCTGAGAATTTGCAATCCTTGTAGAGTGGAGGATTCTGTTCATTGGTAAGTACTTTTGCTGGTTTTATCAGGCTTTCGTTGGTGGGAAAAACAAAGTATGTAATAGTTGTCCTTGCAGCATTTCTATTTGTCACTACTCGATGCTCCGCGCCATTAAGTTTACCATTGCTGATGATCTGTATTAATTGAAAAAAATCTCTCATCTATTAATTAAGGGAAACAGATACCAAACAGCAGTAATTTCATCCTGGAAAAAGTGTATATAAACCTGTAACAAGTAGCCTATGTTAACAACAAATGCATGAGGATGAGGCTGAACAGAAATCCATTGGCCATCCTTGAGGACTTGGAGCCCTGGTATGAGCCCTTGGAGGACCAGGGAGATGACTGTAGGGTCCTTGTGCTTGGATAATCCCAGGGTCAGGCTGGGGTCAGGACATACCGGGTAATGATTAATTATGATTTTTGGGTTTTCACTAAGATCACTGCTGAAATACCCTTTTTCAAGCCCTAATCCTTCACATATTATCTCCAAAATCCTGGAACTCAACTTTCTCATTTCAACAGAATAAGCCCCAATAACCTCCCTGCAAAAAAACAAAAAAGTTGCAACAAAATATTTAATTTCATGAAATATGAAAACTAAATGATTTTTGAAATGTCACCTGTATCTGGTTGGCTTTTCAGGCCAAAATTTTATGCATTCTTCTGCAGGATTGCAAGGGTGTATTAAAGCATCCCTCCAATAATGAAAATCCTCGGCCGGGTAGTCAAGGCTGCTTGTGTAGAGCTTACAGCTTCCATTGGGATCCTTGGAACATTCCCTTTGTTTCTCCATGCCAGACATTGCATGAAACTCCTTGATAACATCCATGGTGTCATCCATTAATGTTTCTGAAACTCCATGATTTATAACCTGTTTTCAGACCCATAACATCAGTATCTTGTCTGCTACGCCTAATTCTCATAGAAATTGTAAGAAATTAATCAAAATATGTATGGTAAATGATCAAACCTGGAAGAATCCATATTCTTCACCAGCTTTCAGGATTTTCTGAATAATTTGGTTTCGATCATGACCTGCGAAATCAATGACTGGAATGGACGTTCCTGGAGGAACAACTAGGTTCCCAGGTCTGGTCTCCGAAGGGTGCACATAACTTGGAGGTAAGACTCCATTGTTGCACCAGCTTGAAACAAACTCCATGATCTTAATTCAATTAAACTCAATGGAATTGGAGAGAGTGGATTGGGAATTGGGGATTATTATATGTTTTGAAGCTGATGATCAACAGCTGAACGTTTAAAGGATTAAAATTATTTTCTAGAAGTTGACCAAAAATTTAAAAAACTACAATTCCATTTTTATTTATTGCACATAAATTATTACCAAAGAAAAAACCATTAATTATATTAGCCATTTCCACATGCATCAGCCATTTTTATAACTCAAAATTATATAGCATACCATATAAAGTTATAAACTTACAAGAATAATGTGTCATTAAATAAATAAATACATATAATATTACAAATAAATCTTTAAATGTAAAGAGTCAATCATTATTAACATGTTATGAGTGTAAGTTTACAATATCATTAATAGTATAACTATATCATTTTTCTTTTTATAACTAAGGATATCTCACCTATATACTCCCTCCAATCAATTTAGGCTTTATTTGACAATACTTTTTGATACTTTAGCTTTTGAATTTTATGTCTTTTTACTATTTTAAAAATATATAAAATATTAATTAAAATAAATATTAAATATATTAAGATATTAAAAAAAAACAACAATTATAGTTACAAAATAACACTTCAAAATTAAACCTTAATTATCTATTTGTTATTTCTAATAAAATAGAGATAAAATAATTAATTAATAAAATTTCATATCTATCTTAATTATCCGCTACGTAAAAAAGTGTGTTTATCCTATGAAAAAAAAATACTATCTCATATCCATTTAACTTGTCAAGTAAATAATTAATTTACTTGCCATTTTTTATTTTATACATAGAATTAAAGCCTTCCTTCCCAACTTTGCTTCTTTTTTTTTTTTTTGTTTGGACCACCTGGTATCCGGAAGCCCACTAAACCACCGATCAATCCGGATTCGACCTAGGTAGAACCCAACGGACGGCAAAACTTTCTCTCATGAGTTTTAACGAAGCTACATTCTCAAGGCTTGAAACCAAGACTTTTGGTTAAGCTGAAAGAGCCCTCTACCAACTCATCCACCCGTTCGTAGGTCCAACTTTGCTTCTATTAATAACTGCTTTGTGACACCTCAAATTACATATCAAAATGAAAGTGTATGTATGATTGGCATATTATTGTTATAATTTACTCTTATTAATAACATGAGTTTAAGTTTTTGAAGGTCTATTGACTATGACCCATAACCCGTAAGGTTGTTAGGTCAATAGCAGGTTTTGACTTAAGTTGTTTCAATTAGTAATTAGAGAAGTTACCTCTCACAAGTATGAATCCATGTTGATTATTACTATTGGTAGTAGTGTGAATCTCACATCAATTATGATGCGCAAGATTATGATGCTCCAAATTCCACGTCAACATGGAAGTGTGAGTATGATTGTGAATACTAAATTGTGTTTCTATGGATATTTTTAATTTTTTCAATAATTTTATCAAACAAAAGTGTGATAAGTAAAATGGCCTAATGGTAGTTAATACTATGCTCATTTTTTATAAAAATATTACAAACACTTATTTTCTTTGAGACAAAAAAAAAATGAAAAATAAGTGTAATATGTATTGTAATTATTTTTTAAAAATAATATTAAAATTAAAATAAATGCGTTAAATAACATTTTAAAATAGTCATGTGCCGCATCATCATCACCATCAAATAAATCATTAAATTAAAAAAAAAAAAAAACTCAAAGTTCAAATCTTTAGAAAAAGAATAAAAGTTTGCTACATGATTTAGAAATCTAAAAAGTTCATATTCTTAAATTTTCTTGTAATGATTTACTAATATTTAATGGTATTAAATTTTATGTAATTAACAAAGTTGTTAGGCTAATAGAACAATCTTCAAAAATTATTAATATGCATGATCTATATATAAATAGAATAGAAGTTTTAATCCAATAATTGATTTTTTTAAATATTAATTAGAAAATAAGTTTTTAAATAATTACTTCAAAAAATTTTGAAAACACAAGTTGCAAAACACTTTTTTATACATATATATATATATATATATTTTTATGAGATTAGTGCAGGATTGGTAGTCCGCCCAAAATTTTTTAGAAGATTTATCTAAAACCCTGCTTTTTAATTAATATTATCAAAAATTAACCATTAGATTGAACATTTTATTTATGTAGCTCATGTATGTTATTTTTATATTGATTTAATACTTATAATCCTTTGAACAAAGAAAACTTTATTTATTTACGTATATTTATATATTAAATTTTTTTTATCAAAAAAAATGGTTAGGTCTATTAGAACAATTTAAAAAATTAATATACATGATTTATATGAATAGAACTTTCAATCAAATTGCTAATTTTTAAAAATATTAATTAAAAAATGAGTTTTTACACAACTATAAAAAAAAATTATGAAGAGAATCTATAAAACACTTTTTTATTGATATGTATAATTTATATGAATAAATCTTTCAATTTAACAGTTAATTTTTAAAAATATTAATTAAAATATAAGTTTTTACACATGTCCTTAAAAAAAATTGAATTTAAGAGAACAATCTACAAAACAGTTTTCTTTATATATATATATAGATTTATTTATTTATTTATTTCTATATGAGTTCGCTTACTTCACGCCATAAAAGAGGTTGTTTTGGGCCAACATTTTGCTAATATTAAAATTAACAAAAACTTTTCCTTAGTGATGAATAGACGGTATGATGTCCGAAAATTCACAAATTGCTAACAATGCATAATGAAAAAACCAAGGATGATTGGAACAAGTAAACTGAACCAACCGTCGATTTAGAAAATAAAAGATAATGACATGGATCATAATCAGCAGAAGGAAAAATATTCCGAATTTACATATATCAAAACAATAGAAAGAAAGAAAAATAAATTAATTAATATAGTATAGGTCTATCATTTTGTTTTTTCTTTTATGAGGTCTCAAAAACCTATGTTCAAGTTGTTAACTTTGTCCATGAATTATTTACAATTTTAAGGCTGACTGTACGCTACTGAATCTATTTGATTGTTTTGTTTGAACCAAATTATGCCTTAGGGTGGCACAGGGCAGCGTGGGATGGGGAGAGTCGTCTTGTCCCTTTTTCTGTTAACGTGCATGGGATCAGTTGAGGAGAATCATCTCGTCCCCTTTCCTGCTAACCTTGGAGAAATTTTGGGGGGTGAATTTTTGAATGACAAAACTCTAAAACCAATTTAATTAGTTTGGGTATCGGTCTAAGCTAATAAACAACCAAACTAAACCAACTACATTAGAAAAATTCTTTAGGTTTTTTTGTCCCACGACTTGAATCTAGAGATTTATAGATTTATCTTACAAAAAAATACTTAATCAATAAAATTTGTTTAAAATAATGCAATTTGATTGATCAAAAGATCTATTTCTCTTCTCTTTCTCTCTATTTTTTTTCAAATTAAATATAAATTTATTTAATAATAGATTTAACCTTGAAATTTTAAGGTGTCACACTTATTATATAAAAGTGTCAACACTAATTTGTCATACTCTTTATTTTTGTAAAGAAATTAAACATTTTGTTTCAATTATACCCATATTAAATGCTTTTAATGAGTTTTTTAAATACATTTTTAAGGGAAAAAAATGAAAATTTGAGGTATAATAATTATTGATCCAACGTTTTGTTAAAATTTTCTTTTATCATGTCCCATAAAATGTAACAATTTAACATGAACGGAGGTACTAGCTTTCAATTCCTCTATTACACTCTCATCCCTTCCCCTGCCCTAATATATATTTGGTTTGAAAGAAACCAAAAGAAAATAAATAAATAATTTTTTGATGGATCAGATTGTAATATTGGCCAACCACATGGTGAAGCAGGTGATTCAGCCACTTGGCCTTGAGTGGGGCACCCCTGGGTTGCTGATTCTATGCTTTCCTTTTACCTTTCTCCCTTTCCCCTCCTCCCTTCCCCAAAAAAACCTCCTTTTAAGTATACACAGTACTCTAACTTCCTTACTCAAATCTCTTGATACCCGTTTGTAATTGACTTTTTGTCTAGTCATTCTATTAAAGATCTCATTAGACCTCTGTACTCCAATTAATACACTTCCTCTGCATCTTCTTCATCTTGATCATACTTCTCATGGAAACAAATCGCTTGCGCTCTTATTACAACCTAGGATTCCAACCTCTCCTACCCATGAAGGACCAGGAAAACACAACATATCAATCCCCCGTGCCTCCTTCAGACCCCGCATTCCCCGTGTTAGCCATCGCTGTCTTAAGCATCATGGGCACTGCCTTCTTGCTCTTTAGTTACTATGTCTTCGTCACCAGATGCCAGCTCAATCTGTTGAGATGGATATCTCTGCTCCGAGCCAGAGAAGATGAAGATCCTTTCATAGCCCTCTCGCCGTCAATGTGGAATAGGGGACTGAATGATTCTGTCATCCGAGAAATCCCAAGTTTCCAGTTCAAGAGAGAAGCAGAGGATGGAAGTATTTGTGGATGTGTCGTGTGTCTAAGTGAGTTCCAGGAACATGACATGCTTCGAGTTCTTCCTAATTGCAAGCATGCATTCCACTTGGATTGCATTGATATCTGGCTTCAAAGCAATGCCAATTGCCCTCTTTGCAGAACAAGCATTTCTGGTACCACAAGGTATCCAGTTGATCATATTGTTGCCCCGAGTTCTTCCCCTCAGGATCCGCAGTCACTCACTGACGGTACTCTTATTGGCGGAGATGATGATTTTGTGGTGATAGAACTGGGAGGATATGACAGAGGTGTTTCTTTCCCAGACAGGCAGCAAGAAATAGGGAATTCAGGACAAGCATTGCAGCAGCCTAGAGGTAAGTCACCGGAAAAGGCGAAGCAGAGGGTCGAGAACTTAAAATCAAGAAAGAGGCAGCATCTTTCGATCATGGGGGATGAGTGCATTGATGTAAGACAGAAAGATGATCACTTCTCAATCCAACCTATCAGGAGATCTTTCTCTTTGGATTCGGCCGTAGACAGACAGCTCTACTTATCAGTTCAGGCTGTCATTCAACAGAACAGACATCAAACAGAAGAATGCAGTAACAGAGCTAGGAGGTCGTTGTTTCAATTCGGACATGGCCGAGGATCAAAAAATACAGTCCTTCCAGTAGAATTTGATCCGTGGTGACAGATTGTGTTACCTTTGTATTGTTAATTTTGTTTTAATTACTGTGGTTTGGGTTTAAGTGGGGTTTCTGAAGTTTTTGCAAGAGACTTAATTGAGTAGAGTGACTTTGTGTTGATGCCGTTTTTGAGTATAAAAGAGACATGGGGCAAGTCAATTTCTAATTATGAAATCCAAGCATGGAAGGAAGAATCATTGCATAAAACATTAAAGCAAGCACACAAGAAAGCAGTAAAGTTAGGGAAAGTATTCTGATGGTAGTGTCAGATCCTACTTTTACGAAGATAGGGTAACTCAAGTGGTAAGGAAGTGGCTCCTTACCGATACGAGCTCATGACAGTAATTGTAGGTTCGGTCATTGTACCTAGAGTTTACTCTCCATAGTCTAAGTGGACGATGAAGAGGGGTTCTACTCATCATCCCCCACCGCCCCCACCCCCACAACTCCCTTCCAAAAGAAAGGAAGAAGACTTGCGCCATCTTTTTCTTTTTCTTTTTTTAATGTAAAAACTAAGAATTGAATCCTAAACTTATAGTTTAAAATTATAGGTAATTCTATTATTAGATTACATGACTGATGGTAAGACTTACACCATCTTGTTTAATCTTTACTTGGTTATGGCTGCCATTAATTTTGTTAGAACCACTAAAACTATCAAATTTTTATCTTAGTTTGACAGTTAAAAAAAGCATCAATTAACAAAATAATTAATATTTATTATTTAAGAAATTAAAATTAATTTATATATAAATATTTTCAATATCAGAACTAATTGTTTAAGGAAAAAATTATAAATCGATAAAATTACAAATAAAATTAAGGATCTTAACAAAATTATTGGTGATCATACTCTCTTGAGTACTAGTTTGTCATGAATGGCAATGATTGCTTCCATGTTGGTATCAGGGGTTCCCATAGAGAGGAGATGAAAAGAGTAACGAAAGAAAAGATGGGGTTTGTATAATGGGCAGAGGGACCCCAGAAATGAGTAGCTATAAGTGAAAACTATGGGGATCGGCATTATCAAAGATAAACAGCAGCCTCCTTTTTTCCTGAAAATACTTATTTTGCTGCCGCTGAAGGGCCAGGGCCAAGTTATGATTATGTTTAAAGTTTAATCATGGAGTTGAGTCTTTCCCTTGTTTTCTGCCAAAAAATCAGAATCATGTTTTCTAATTACTTCAGAATCTAAATTCCTGCACTCAGAGTCACCATTCAGATTCGTCACGCCAACATACTTTGATGCAAGAGTGCCTAAGAAGTATGACATTAATACAAGAGTTGGCAATACAAGAGTTGGCACTTGGAAGAATGATTGTAAACTTTTGATTAACATCCTCAGTTGAACAACTTCAGAGAACATTGATGAGATTTTTCTTCAGACGATCTCAAGCTAAGATGAAAGACGATGTATAGAAAGAGATTCATGAGAAGACTTAATATTGGGAGAACAAAGAAAAAGCATTACTAAGCTTCTCCAAGTACAATATCTTTTCAAGATTTTACTAATAAACATATAGACAACCAAACGTGGTTTTCTGAAAACTTTTGTGGGGGGAAAGAATCTGTTTAAGTAACTTTAGCACTACAAATGTAATAAAAATTTTATCAAGCAAAAAGTGATACTTACCACTTGAATGACAAAGCCAAGCACAAACAACTGCAAGGATGTTTGAACTTTGAAGTACAATTGAACTTAATTCTGATTGATGGCAAAATTGGCTTCTGAACTTATGGGAGGGGAAATATTCTGGGGCAACGGCAAGGCCTTCATAGGATCTTCATTTGTGGATGCAACAAAGGCTTTTTTCTTTAATTCTTCAAGAAGTCGTTTGGCTTCTCTCAACTGATCTTCTGCACTTGGTCCATGGCTTTCCCATGCATCAATTACTCGCTGCTGAAATTCAATTGCAAGGGTGTAGCTGCAACACTCAGAAAACAGATTTCAGACCATATGTCACCCTAGCATCCTAAATATAACACAGGACAAAATTACATACGCTTATTCCATGAGACCCGTAAACATATACTTGTACGTCAATTCTTAATTCTCAAGTTCCTGACATGTCTAAGTTCTTGTATGAACATGTTAACAGTAGAGGCATACAGCAAAATAACATAAATTATTTCTATTGATATATATATATATATATATATTATTGACATCTGAAATTTTGCATTTTGACTTCCCTAAAATCTAGTTGCTTACAATGTAGAGTAAAAAATGAATAAAAATTTTTCATGACTGGCCCAGTCATGACATGGTGCTATTATAGAAATGGCATCTTCAATTATGATGATGAAGGTCAACGGATAAACAGGCACCCAAAATATGAAACATGTTACTCATGGGCTCATGGCACATCCTAGAGCTTGGCCCTTTTGGGCTTGCTACATTTATGTTTGTTAAATGTAATTTGACCAAAAAAAACAAAATAGTTGATGAGGTCTTGGCCATAAAAATAATTAGTTAGTTAGGTCTTGGGCCAAAACAAATTAGCTGATAGGTCTTGGCCAAAAAAAAATTAGCTGATTAGGTAACACAGAAATAACAAGAATTAAAAAATAAAAAAAGGCAATTTGGTAAATGATGGCAAAAGAGGTGGAGTAAGAAAATGTGAAGAGAGCCTAGTGCCACTGAGAAGTTAGCTCTTCAACCTAATTTCCCAATAGCATCTTTTCATTTACTCTTAAAAACCCACATGTGAGTATGCCAGTTTGATTTATGTGCTAATAGAAAAGCACTTTAGATGTGACTAATTTAAATGTAGTTATATGAAAGAGAAGAAAGCTTTCTTCTAAAGTCAACAACAAATCAGAAAACTAATTTGCATTTTGTAAAAGTAGAACTGTTAAGTACTGGTACAAAAAGTCTAGATAAACATTCAAATATGTAATATTATAACAACTTCCCTGCAGTAAAGGCTTCAGATAACAGTGCAACGAGATCAATGGGATAAGTGATTTTATTATGCCAAACAAAAGATAAAGACAAAGTTCTACCAAACTAACAGTCCAACAGACGTCAAATTGCAATTGCAATGCAACTCCAATGATGGTGAACTAATAAAGCCTCATAAATAGAATAAAACAAGAAACTAGGCTATGCACTCTTACCTTCCCATGGCTCCGTATGCTTTAGAAAGGTTCTGACAAGCATCAATTGAATCAGCATGGTTGGGACCAAGTGAGACATCCATGATGTCCTTTGCAACTGCAAACACTTGTGCAGCAGACTGCGGTCTGTCAAGTTCCAAATATGCTGCACCCAAATTATTGTAAATATATCCCACTCCAAAATGCTTGGATCCAAAGCTCTCTTTCAACATCTCTGCTGCACTCTCTAAGTATGGAATTGCCTGTAGCACCTTACCAGACAAAAGAAGTAACCACCCTATTCTAGCTGAAATGCTGCCCTCTGAGTGCTGTTCTTGAGGTTGCTTCTCTAGTAAGGCTAATGATCTCTTTAACAAGGAAATTGCAGTCTCAAACTCATTCATATTCTCATATTGCATGGATATCTCAGAGTATGCCTCAGCAACTTCGAGTGGATAGTGTATTTCTTTCTTTCCAAGTATCCCACAAGCAATTTCTAAACACCTCTTTGAGTCTGCAAATTTTTCCTGATTACATAATGCCTTTCCCATTGAAATAAAAATCAGGGCTCGATTCCGACTATCTTTCTCTGTCTGGTTAACTACACCCTTTAAAGTATTAATAGCTTCATCAAAATTTCCCAATGCAATCTGCATATTTGCAGCATCAATCTCTGCATGAAGCAACTCAGAACTAAGACCCCAACTCTTCAACACTTTCTGTGATAACAAGTTTTGCTCTAGTGCCTTCTCATGCTCCTCTAAACCCGTGTAAATGACTCCAAGAAGCCTCCTATCATGTGCAACCTCTACTGAGTTCTGCCCCAATTCCTTATGTATCTCCAATGCCTTCAAACCATATGGCAAGGCCTCCTTAAAATTTAAAACTGCAACATAAGCCTCAGCCAGATCCCTGTAAGCCACGCCCAGTTCCCTACTATCTTTCTCAAGCATCAACTCCTTAATCTCCAAACACTTCCTATGGTTCTCAAGTGCCTCCTCTCTCCTCCCCATAGCTGTTTTCACATTCGACAATTCAAGCTGCACAGCATGCAACACTGGCCTAATATCCTCAACACTAACACCCTCTTCCTCCAACCTAAACAGTAGCCTATTAGCCCTATTAAGATACCCCAAACCATCACCGAACTTTTTTAACCTATAATTAACAGAACCCAATAATTGTAAAGCCATGGCAACAGGAAAAGAAGGTTTATCATCTTTTTCCAGTGCTTTCAAAGCTCTATTTGCAAAAGAGATAACTTTTTCTGGGTCCTCACCTTCGCGATCAAGTTGGAGCCCTACTTTCAATAAAGCCATTCCAAGCTCTTTCTCATCAAATGAAGCCTCCATATCTTTAAACGCTTTGAGCATTTCTTCAGTCGTTTTTGCAGACTCAAAAGCATCTTCAAGATCAGATCTTTGTTTAACTTTTCTCTGCCTAGAGCTCATCTGGGCTGGTTTCTCTACGAGGGTATCGAGATTTCGAGATGGGTTTGTTCGAAATTGGTTGGTTCTAAGAATCATCCCATGTGTTTTGCTACAGGATTTGAGGTCCTGTCCAGGTGACAGAAGTGATGAAGAAGAAGACGAAGAAGAAGACGAAGAAGAAGACGACGAAGGTTCCGAAATGTAACTTCTAGATAAGACGCATCTGTGCCGAGCAAAACGTGAGAGAAGTGAAATTGAAGATCTTCTCATGCTGAGAATCTGAAATTGTGAGGTGAGGATGAGAATTTCGCAGTTTCGAATTCCTCTAAACCCTTGAAAAACCCTAATTAGGTCACGCTGGCAACATTATAGAGTTGCGAATGCAACAACAGAGAATCATAAATACGCTGTCGTTTCTGTACGAAAGTAATCTCTCTCCATCTCGATTTGTTTGCCCCCGTAGTCATTTGCATGTAACTTTATATTATATACACTTATATGATATATGAGTGGGAAACTAAGTATTTTTTTTATCAAATAAAACTATGAAAAAAATGATATATTTAAAGAAAAAAAAATTAGTTGTCTTTTATAAGCCATATAAAAATATAATTTAATGTAAAATGATAAATAATTTATTTTACAATTGTAAATTCATAATTATAACATGTCATTATATAGTTGATTTTTTTATTCATTAATATATTTAGTATACATTTATTTCTTCAATAACACATTATTATTATTATAAATTTACAAGTCTTACGCGATAATGACACTATAAGTAAATAAGTATATTAATATTGTATTCTAAGACCTTGCGCCTTCTTATACTTCATATTATTCAATAAATAAAATAATGTACATTTTGAATTATATTAAATCATACAACTTAATAAAAAAAAAACCTCTAATATTAAACTATTTCATATCTAACAATTTTTATTTTATAATTTAATACAACTCTAATTACAATTACAATCTTAATTACAACCGCGCACCTTTAAGCTTGCAATAGTATGTTTTTACATTTAAGGCTTACGGTGCCTCAATGGAGGCTGTCAACTTGTAGAAACTAATTCCAATGAATCTATGTGCAACAAAAAAGTAGAGTTTCACTTGTAAAACATAAAAATTTCTATTCCAGCCTTTGGAAACTCATTCTAAGATTCTTAGTCTTATTGATTAATCGAAACTTGGGGGCTTTAAATTTACAGTGGGAGTTTCGGGACGTCTGGTATAAATATCACCAAAATGAAGGTTAACATCCCCCCCAGCTTCAAGATCAGCATCTATATAGGTGGTCCGGGACAACAACCGAGAATCCCTCCAATCATAGAATTGTTCTGGTTCTTCCATGCTTCCCTCTGAGAAATTATCATCGTAGTAATTGTGCGGAGAGAAGTTGAAATCTGGAGGCTCGAGGAAACTTGCCTGGGGTTGTGATGCACCATGAGGACTGGTTCTTCTTGCCCACCAATGGCTCTTAGTAGGGTGAGCTGGATCACTTGCATCATGATGCCATAGTACGCTCTCCTGGAAGAAAGGAGCTGAAGAAGATGCCTCAAGATGCGACTGTGACCGATCAGCATAATGGTTGCGATCAGCATAATGGTTGCCCCAGTGTTCTTTAGATCTCGCTTCTTTAGGCATCAAGGTGGTTGGCGCTGGTGCCCAATAATCCCTGGGTTGTTGCTCGGTTTCTTCGAGGGGAATTGTCGTTGTGTCTCTTGTATGATCAGTTGCATTGTGAAGTCGAGAGGTGTAATACCAATCAAGAAGATACGGGTGATTCTTTTGATCTGCATCAATTAGCCATAAAGAACCCATCTGATAACCGGTATTCAGCGGAATGTCCCTTGAGAAAATGCTGTTTCTATCTCCATAAGCCCTCATCGGGCTACGGTGCCACAATCTAGGAGAAGAATAGATATGTCTAGTTCCATGGCCTTGAAATTTTTTCTCCCTAAAAGTTCTGAGATTCAAAAGGAATTGCTTCCCCTGAGCATTTGGTTCCCATGAAGGATAGGTGCTTTGGAAACTGCAACAAGAATGAAATTATTTAGAAAGAAAATTAAGGAAAAAGAGAAGTTTTGCAAGCAGATTATTTATGCTACCTAGAACAAACCTGCATTAATTATCAAGAAAGAGAACCAAAACAAGGGGTTTAAACTGCATAGGGGGAATTATAATAGGAAAAAAAGAAAAAAACTGCATGGAAGGAAACCTCCATGAGCCTATCTGTTTCAACGGTTGACATTTCAACATAAAAGAAAATAACTGGCATCTTTGAAGAATGGTCAACCTGGTAACGAAAATGTTGAGAGGCATTTTAGAGTCGATGACAGAATGAACCTTAGAAATTATGATATGTTGTAGATGCAGGTAGGAACTTTATCTCATTTCTAGTTAGATGGCAATAAAAACAAGGTTTGTCACAGCATATATAAAAAAAATGTTAGCTTGGTGCAGTTTTCTTAATCTTGAAAATAGCAAGAATGAAATGCATGTGGGGTCAATTCATTTAATATTGCTATAAACATACCTCAAGAATGATTTCTCCATTTTCCCCTGAGAACTTCTCTGAGCATGAGGGGTACCATATGGTGACCCATAATTGCTGTTGCCATGATTTTGGAAATTAAAGGCACTAACACTGCCAAAAGACAAAGGCAGAACAGTAAAAAGGTCATGTGCCATTTGTTGAGAATTTAAGGAACAACTAATTCTCTGATATTTTGTGCTGATGGAAACAGAACAGAGTACCTGCAAACATGACCAACACCTTCAATATCCACCGTAAAATCTGTGATGAACTGCAAGATATCATTTACACGCTGCAAAATAAGAAAAAAATTGAGTAAAAAATTCTCATGTATGGTCCTTAAAACAAAATAACAAAAAAAAAAAGAATAAAAAAACCTTACAAAAGACTAGAATAAATTACCTCTGGGACAACAAATATAAGCAGAAATGGAGTGAGGAAAATGGAGGCCATCTCCTCTAGTAACATTGTTCCCGTATACTGCATTGCAAAAATTAACATGTTTACTACAATGAGCACAAAAATAGTTCAAGAGTATATCATGCAACGAGCAAAGCAAACAAAGGAAATCATATCCATTTATGCCAATGAATCAACTTTGATTTTTAGGTGCTAGCTCATAAAAAAGAGTCATAATTCCCAGAGAAACATAATTCTTGTTTAGCTAGCAAGGTAGCTGAGACATCCCTCTTCACAGGCCCTACAATTCATCAAGCATGCAACCTAGAATAATGACAATCCAAACTGGAAAGCCAGAAAAGATTACCTGAAATATGGTTTCAAATTCTGTCCTGACTGTCTCAGTATTTTCTTTACCACGCCATCTCTTTGGCATATAATGTGTATGCTGAACGACCATAGACATCGCTCCTTCAGGATCAAGGACGAGAAGCTCATCTGTTATGGCAGCCCGGCTAATAGCTGTAATGGTTCCAAAAACAGCAGCATACCAGAAGAGATTGCGACCAAATATCTGGAGAATTTGAATAATGAATTAACCAAGTATAAGATTAATTATGACTAATATACAAATTATCCAAAATTCTTAGAGCAAAGAAGAGAGATATTACATGGCCCTCTAGCAGAGATTCCTCCAGAAATGCAATGATGATCAGGATAGCAGCAAAGCCACCAGACACAAAAGAGATGAACTTAGCTATAATAGAAATAATAGGTGATGGGAATTGCTTTAGATAATTGGAAGCATACACTACGCTGCTATTGATCCGGTGCTTGAATAAATGGTCAACCTGGAAGGCAAAGTCAAGGTCACAAGTATTAAATCATACTTAGCTATAAGTAAAAGAAAAAGCTAGTCAGGCATTTTAAATATTCAATTTAAGAGAAAATTCTGCCAATTTTTCTAAAATTCCCTTTTTCCCTTTGTGAGTATATTTTTCAGAAAATGTAAGAATATAACTGCAAATATTTGATTACTGTTCCAAATATCTAACAAAATCAGTTAGCTAAAATTTTGAGGAAAGGCAGCAATGAAACCTCATTACGCTTGCAGTAAAGGGAAGAAATGAATATTTTACCAATAATTAAGGAAAAGAGAGGAAGGGCTCATAACTATACCTCATTGAATTCCCTGAACATCCATTTTGATAAATTTGACCATCTTCGAGATGATGCTGTGCTTGGATGGTTATAAAATTGTTCAGCATGCTTTAGGAAGAGATAAACTAGCATGAATATAACAAGAAATGGAGAAAGCAGAAGCATTGCAATCCCAACTACCATAAGTCTCTTCTTCAAAGTTCTAGGATTAGAAATGAAATCCCTTTTTACACAGAAGTTTCTGCAAAAAAATACACTCAAATCAGAAGATGATCACACATTCGATAAAGGCATACATGTATATTGACATTCTTAAATGCATCTGAGCTTCGAGCTCATCCACAAATAAGCTGAGAAATGTTTTTCAACTAGACACTTCATAACAACAGTTCAGCAATTGAAATCAGCATTACCACATTAAAGTGTTCCAAATTTAGCTTCATGTTAGTTGCAAAGTATGCAATATTCTGTTGACAGATTCCCTTCTCTCCTCCCCAACCAGCCCCCCACCCCCAAAACAGGGGGGAAAAGAAAAGAAGAAATATATAAGATCAAGAAATGGAAATAACAGTTAGATTTACTTAGGAATTTTAACTTCTTTTTTTTTTTTTTTTTTTTGGTTATATGCATGAATCAACAGTAACATTAAAACTAGATACAAAGCAATAAAACATTACTGTAAGTAGCAATTTCTAAACACAGAAATACCACAGAGAAGCTTTTTGGCATAAATTCCAACATTATCCAGAATGCAGAGCTCTGAAGGATACACTATCATTTTTTGACTAATTTTCCAAGAAAAAAAGGAGTATGAATTAATTGTCTTTGTTCATCTGCACTTCCAGATTGTCTCAGACATCTCTAAAGTTGATAAACAAATCAACATTCATCAAGGAACTAAGAACTATTGTCAACGCTCCCAGAATAGAAAGTACACAACAATTTCTTCCTAACAACATAGAACTAAAGAGAGAACTACAAATTCAAAGTTGAAATAGCAGACTATAATGCTAGGCAACTAGTGAGATTATTCTGTTATAGAAATCAATATCAATCAGAAGTAACGAATTTATTTATTATGAGATGTTTGCATGTAAACTTCATACCTATCAAACATGCTCTGTAATATACACCAATTTAAGGTCCATTCAAGGGTCTTTGTCAGTATTAGGCGATGCTGCCTTCCATTTGGGCCATATTTGACAGTCGGACCAGCACCAGGAACCCACTTTGAAATTGGAAAAGCAATAACTCCTTTGTTAATCATTCCAATTAAGTAATTCTCCTTCCGCATCAATCGCATAACCACATCATGAGCAGAAAGATCCTTAACTACACAGAGTTGTTGTGAACTTTGTAGTTGAACAACCTTTTCAAGAATTGTTGCCCATGGCATGGTTTGAATTTCATTGTCAGTTACATGGAGACTGCAAATACCAAAAAAAGCATACATAAGATTCTATTAACAATAAAAGGTTCATCTAATTGCAAATTGAAGGCTTTCACACAGTTTGAGACTTTTCTAGTTATCTCATCCAGATTACCTGTTGTAGAAAAAGTGACGGATTCCTAGTGTCTCCTTTAATTGAGCAAAAAACCTCAAAAAACAGAATACCCAATAAATGGAAAGTAGCCCCAAATATCCAACAATAATAGACTTTGAAAGTGTTAAAGGAGTTAACGGATGTTGATGAAGTGCTTCTTTAGCAAGATCACATGGTTTAATTCCAGATTCAACTGCATCCATAACTGCATCCATCCCACACTTTGCATTACGTAGACCATTCCAATCAACAAATAATAAGAAAAATCCGGAGAAAAATATTGTAAATCCCAGGCTAAGCAGCTCAACCATCCACTTGATAATTATGCACCAAAGCCCTTTCTCACAATAGTAGCTGTAGAGCCTTTCAAAGAAGAGGTCTAGATCAGCAATTGGTTCCAACCTTAAGCTCTCACCATTAAGCAGCCCCGAAGGGCTCTCACAGTCACTGCCGGGACTCGGTACCCTTCCATAGTCTGACAATTCAATCTCAGGAGGCACATCACTAAGCAAGCCTGTCGCCAAGGAAGATTCACCACGCCATGTCCATTTAAATATGCCAAGAGCCTTTTGTCCCCTGAACATCATTCACCAATATTGACAGTTGACCAAAACAGCCAGTCCATCCCCCAAATTGCATAAATGTTTATGCCCAATTTCTGCAAAGAAAAAGCAATTCAGACCAACCTTTAAGCATGGATGAACTTATAAACTAGAGACAAATCAAAAGAAAATAGAAAAGAAGAGAAAACATGCAATCCACCATAAAAAGAGATTAACCTGAAATGAACAAAAGGCAAAGGCAGTCCAAGAAATAAACAAAGTACCAAGTTCTTCCAAAATGTTTAGTAATTACCATGAATTCAAATACCTACAAAGCATAAGCTGGAGAAGGCTGTAATCTTTCGCTTCACTAAACAGCAGGAAACAAGTAACAAGAGCAGCAAAGCAAATAAACTCAATGTAGGGGTTCACAGATCTCCAACACAATCGATGGACCTGATAGGAAAACCTGAAATACATAAATCTTTACAATGCTTCCAAAGCATTGACAAGAAACTCCAAACCAAGCTAAAACTTAGCACCAAAGCTGATATAAAAAGAGGAAACAAAACTAAAAAGAAACAAAAGTATAATCAAGAATCACAGCTTTACTCTAATCAAACACCACCATGATCATATTCAAGATCATAATCAACCACAAGAAACTAAATAGCAGAAAACGATAAAAAATAAAAATAAAAATAAAAAAGGAGCAAACTTTTGGTGCATCAGAAGTCAACCTAAATGCTCATGCCATTCACAATACAATTTAACTCCTAGAAACCAAGCCGCCGCCTAAAATAAATTTCTTTAAACATTAAAGAAAATACTAAAAAAACGAAGTTATCAAAGATCATCACACATAGACTCAAAGACACGAATTTAACCTGTTACCCAACAACAAACAGCCACGAGAAAGCGTGATGCAATTGAAAGACAGCTAAAATCGGAACCTTTAGTGAATACCCAGTAAGAATTCAGCGCTGAAACAACCGAAAATCAAACAAAGGGAAGATAAAGACCTGAAATTTGAAGATGGATGGAGGCGAATTAGATGTTAGAAGGAATACAGAACGAAACTTTAGCTTGCAAAGGGGCAGAATTCGATGGGGAAGGAAGAGGGAAAGAGAAGGAAGGATTCTTTTTGCGTGAACGAAAACATAGAATTTGTGGGTTGTTTTGAGTTTTGTTTTTATAGTTGCATTAACAATGGAATGTCAAGGGCTATTGGCTTCTCTCTTCCCCTAAAGCAGAATTAATTAGTAGTAATATCTTTTTAAATAAATATTAGGGATAACTGCACTTTACCTCCTGTGGTTTTAGGGAGGGTGTGCTTTGACACCACAATCACGTAAAATTGCATTTAACCCCCTTGTGATTTACAGCCTTGATGAAGGATAGTTTTTAGAGTACAGATATTTGGACAACTTTTTTTATACAACTTTTAATTACAACTTTCATATGTACTAAATAAATTGATGTATATAATGTTATAGATCCATTAGAGTAAAATAATTAATTATTAAATAACATATAAGGTTGTATAAATATAAAAAAAGTTATCTCTCACTTTTTTTCTTAGTCCTTTGATAGGATTGTTCAAAAAAGAAAATAGTAAGTGCTTGTTTACTAATTTGTTGTGTTATGGGCTTTCTATTTTTTGTTGTTAAAATTTAAATTATCAAAATTTACAATAAAAAATCAAAATTAAAAATAAAAATAAACAACTTATTAAGAGTGCATTTATTACACTATTTTATCATTAATTTATATTGAAAACAATAAAAGTTAATTTTAATTTTATCGACTACTTAAATAAAATGTTTCATGTGATATTAATGTTAAAAATAAAATTTACTTTGGTAATTTTTCATACTATAAATTAATAATGAAAATGTGCACTAAATGCACCAAGGCACAAGTTAAAAAAACTTATAAATTTATATTTTTAGATAAATGACGTAAATTAAAAAACTCATAAATTTATATTTTTAGATAAATGACATAGATTAAAAAACTCATAAATTTACATTTTTAAAAATATATATTGTATAAGAAAATCTTTAAAAAATACTATCAAATGAAGCTTAAAAAATGAGCGGAATTGTTTCGTACATGCTTTTATTTTTTTTAAAAAAAAAAAGAAAAAGAAAAGAGCTTGTTTAAGAAAGAATCATCTCTTCTTTTCAAATACATCTAATATATAACAAACTTCTAATAAGATATAGTTATTTTCTTTTGTAAATCTCTCGTCACTTATCCCAAAATTCGAGTGTAAGGAGCATCGAACACCCATCTCCATTTTGTTTCCTTTTTTGGCTAGCGAAGCAAACCACCATGATCACATGGTAGTTATATTTATATTTTTCACAATTTTGGGGGCAAAGCGCATCATCCCAAACAGAATAGGGGCCCATAAGTATTTTTTTATATGTTTTATAAGACTGTGAAGAATGCTGAGTCGTACCTAACGGTATTGAGGAATTGCTTTGCTGTTAAACAAAGGTTATACCCCAAGTTAGTCCCTCAACTATTTTACAGCCCCTGAGTTGGTCCCTCAATTAAAAAATCTCTAATTTAATTCCTAAAGTTTGAGATTTTATCCGCTCTTTAGTCCAGTCCTTTCGTTAATTTTTCGTTGATGTAACATGTTAATCGATGGAATAAATTCACTTTTTCTTTAAGGACATGGAAATTCCACTTAAAAATGATTTAAGGAAAGTTTTTTTATATTATTATATATATGTTATATATCATAAAAATAATTAATTTTTTATTTTAAATTCATAATATTAAATATATTTATTTATTTAATAATATAAAAAATTATATAAAAAAATTACCACTCTATCACCACTAATTAAAAACTTAACGAGATGAATAAAATTGGTTCTTCACGTTGGCTTTAATTACATAATTATCATTATAATTAATTTATTTATACTTAAATTAACGGCATTACCCATTTACCCTTATCTTCTTCCCCTAAACCCCTCTTCTGTTCCTCTGTGTCGACCAAACTCCCCCTTGCCTTGTTCCCTCGTGCCGACCAAACTCCTCTCTACTGATCATCTCTCCTCTATTCTTTATCTCTCTCATTTTCATCAGTCCTCACCTTCGACTTAGCCACAAAAACACCTCTCCCTTCTCCTTATTCCATCTTGCCCAGACCTGATCATTGTCCATCGACCTTCCCTTTCCTTCTCACTGTTATTAAGCTCCTTTCCCTCTTTATTTTTCTCCTACATATCCTTTTCATCCTCTCTCTCACCCCGTTCTTGGTTCTCTGTTCTCCAATAATCAGAGATATGAGATAAGCCAATTGTTTCCAATCAAACCGAGGATTGACCGATTTGGTGTTGTAGCCGAAACTATAGAGCATAAAAGTGACGTCAAGGCAGAGGAAAGATATTTGCGATTGACATCAAAGTTGAGGAAGACAAAAAGAGTGAGAATTTGGGGATATAGATGCTTGCAGTGTTTATTTTTTTTGAAATTAGGGATTTTGGTGTTTGGTTTCTTGTAGTTGCGGAAACCCTAATAATCTCTTTACTTTCTTTGTCAAGTGGTTTTTCTATGATATGAATTGAATTGGTGACTTTTAAATTTGAACTCTGTTGTACTTTCAGAAACCTTAATTTCTAAGTAATTTATCACGGAAACTCTTCTTCTTCAGGCTCCATTTTGTTGTAGAATTTGTTTTATCGTGCAATTGATTGTGTTCAATTCAGTGAATATGGGTTGAATTTGATTTGTTTATCAAAATTTATTTATTTTTTGTACTAATCCGATATTCTTGCCTGAGTAATCTGGAGTCGTGCTGCTGCTGCGTTTAACCCTATATCAGAGAAGCTCTCAACGCCTGTTTTTACATTTAGAGCTGGTAAAGCTCGTAAGAGATTATGCTTTCTTATTTTATTTATTATTCATAACTTTAAATAGTTTTTTTAAAATTTATATATTTTTATTTTTTTATCCTTCAAAAATCTTAAATAATAAATTTTAAAAAATTTTAACTTTTTAATAAATTTTTTTACTTATTATTTATTTATTTTTAAAAATAATTTTTAAATTTTTTTAATAAAAATTTAAATTTATCATTTATAAATAATAATAAATAATAAAAATAATAAAAAATCTTATAAGCCCTACCAAGCTCTTATAAGACTCAAGGGAGAGCTTGTTTGAAGAACCGAACTCCGGACGAATAAAATTTAAAATTTATTTATTGGTGCCTGAGAAGAATAGCTTTGAAGCACTAATTTTAAGAGATATGTTTGTAGGTGATAACTTGATAATTGATTGTTTGCTCTTATTTAATCATCAATGCGAGGAGGATTCAAAAGTGAGAGTTCATAAATTTCCTAGAAAAAAATAATGATAAATAAAGGAAGGGATCGAAGGTCCGTTCGCTTCGATCCAATGATATTAGACTTAAATTAGAGCTGTTCACTTACGTGAGTTGCATGTTCTTATGTGTTTACTTATGTGAGTTGCATGTTCTTATGTGAGTTGCATGTTCGAGTCCAACCGAGCTCTTTTCACCTTTCTCTTAATTAACCTGTAAATAATTATAAATTGTTAAAAAAAATAAAGGAAGGGAGCTTGTGATTTCTACAGGAAGGGTTCGAAATAGATGGCAAGAAAGGGCAGAAATCCTATTTTATTGTTGGTGGTGGGGCCTTTTGTTTTTTTTTTAATGGCTGGAACCCAATTACAAAATTTTAAGAATTAACTCAAGAATTTTTTTAAGTTGAGGGATTAACTCAGAGATCTGTACAATAGTTGAGGGACTAACTGGGAGTTTAACCTTAAACAAAACAACCCAATGGGTAGTCGGGACTAGAGTCTCTGATTTATTGGGCTTAATTCTGTAATTCGGGTTTGTCCACATTTCGGCCCAGTGGATCATATTTTCTTTCTTTGGATCATAGCCCAGTAGATCATATTGAACCAAGTCCTTAGTAGCATTTTTATTAGGATTTTCTAGATGCAAAATTGTTAAATTTTTTAAAGATCGTGGACTCAAGATGGTGGCAAAATCTATTTTGTAAAGTCTGTTTGGTTTCGACAGAAATAGAGGAGAGAGGAAGAGAGCGAAAAAGAATGTTTTGTTAAATCAAATTAAGATATTAGGTGCACAAACCAATTTATTTTATTAACTATTTATTTTAATTTAGTGTTACTCAATTTTTAACAACCAAAAAAAAAAAAAAAAGAGGGAAAAAGAGAAAGACAGTGATATTAAAAAGAGCTTTAAGTTTATTTCTCATATCCTATACTTATGGGTGTTAACTTAGCTATCGTCCCATAAAAAGAAAGTAAGGGTTTGTTTGGAGTGCTTGGATGTTGGATAAAAAAAGTACTAAGCAATTTTAAAAAGAAGAATTAAGATTAAAAGATATTAAAATTATTAATGAATGTGTTTATACCATAAACAACATCTAATCTAAAGATACTAAATTATTAAGATTTGGAAATAGTGCATATCAGTCTTACCTCCTAAAAATTATGAGGAAAATTATCCCAAAACTACGTCGTTTCAATAAATTTTTATTGAAAAAGATTAAACTATCATATTTTTAAAACATGCATTTTTGGTGATTTTTAGCATTTTTCTTCTTAATTTTTTGAAGGTAAAATAGACAAACACTAATCCCTTAAAATTTTATAGTTAGTCGAGAGTTTATTTTTTTGTAATTTTGACAATAGTTATTATGGTAATCTAGCACCACATGACGAGGTGGTTTAATCCTATCATTTAATGAGATTAATTTGTAATTTCCTTTATGAGGTTAGTGCTTGTCTGTTTTACTTCTAAAAAATTAGGAGGAGAAAAGACAAAAATCACCTTAATGCATGCTTTAAAAATATGGTAGTTTAGTCTTTTTTAATAAAAATTTATTGAAATAACGTAGTTTTGGGATGATTTTCTTCATAATATTTAGGAGGTAAGGCTGATAAACACTATTTCCTTTACTTAAATTGAAAAAGTAATAGAGTTTTAATGGAAGAAGACTACGTGGATGTATTTGAGTTGGATTAGGAAGTGGTTAGATGTTGAGAGGAATTACTGTCCGGACATGGAACAACTCAATCCCTAATGGACAGTTATGGAAAGTGGAGTGGTTACCACTTACCACCAAAATCACCTCGAGTAATAAGGTAAAACCATGTCTCTTGATAGAAATCAGCTTTTTAGGCCTACCTCTCTCAAGAAATTTCCCAAATCAAGCAATTTATAGCATGTTTTCCACATCAAATCTTTGATATTAGATCTTACTTTGTCTACTTGCTAAGCTTTTGTTTGTTTTATTATGGTTCACTTAGTTAGTTTTTAGGTTTTGAGACCAGTTCTCATGTTTTAATTGTAATTTTTTTTATATCCTTTGCCTTCTTGGGTTCCTATCATGAACTAAGTCTGTAAATTCGTCAATATTAAATTTCAGATTTATTATTGTAGTTGTTTTATGCTTTTCAATTGTTTTTAGTTATGTGGATCCAATCATGTTTCTTCATGTTTCAACACTCTAATTTACTTTTATGTCTTCTTCATGTACGCTTCTATTGTCTACATAACTAATTAGTTAATATTTAGATTTGTTTAATACAACTCTTTAGTTTTAATGTATTTTTTAGTTGTCATACTTCTATTCTCCTTTTAGTAGTATATGTTTTAGGTATTATGTCTTTCTTCTTTACCAACAAACGCACTTGATTAACCCTTGATGTGGGAAGTCCCTTATGATTTTCTAGGACATTATTTTTAACCCATTTGTGCAAGAAAGCATTCCTTCCTTCTTGCCAATCATCTAGCCAGGGTGTATCCCTTTTTATTAATTCAAAGGTTGACCACTTAGAAGAAGAGGGTCATTAACAAAAGAGAAAAGGGAAAATCATGGTGTCTTGGCATTAAAAATATTAGGACGTTCAATCTCAATCATTAACTGTGGGGGGTATAACATGGCTATTATTAGATATCTTAACATTTTTAATATTAGGACATCTTGATTTTGCCTTTTCCTTAAAAAAAAAAAAAAATCATTTTCTTACTCTTGTTACAAAGCAAATGACACAATTTAGCACATATGCCCTGAGGCAACCAAAAGGAGGATATTTTTGGGAAATAGGATGTTTTCAAAATTATGTTAATACTTTTAATATTACAAATTATTGTGGCTATATATGTGTAAAAACTAAGCATATGAGCTCCAAAATAAAGCTCGTATCCAATCTAAAATTAATTAGTAATAGGTGGAGCAACATTTTTTGTATTTAACTAATATGTCTTCTTAATATTTTTCTAATGAGGGATTTTTTCACTTAATATGTCCTCTTCATATATATATGGTTGGGTATTAACTTCGAATCATTTTCATGTATCATTTGTAGGTTTGGTATTAATATCGAATTTTATCATGTGGATCTTAGGTTGCAAACTTAAGAAGCCCATCTCACGTGCAAGTTTGATCTATCATGTGCATTTTCGTCTAACAAATGGGCTTAATATGCCCTCTCCTCGTGTAGGCTTAAATTAGATACCATATAAAAATTGAGCATTTGGATTTTAACACAAAACTTATATCTAATTTAAAACTCATTAGTAATAAATAGAGTAACCTTCTTAATATTTTTCCAATGTAGGCTTTTCACTTTAACACCACGAAAAAGCTTACCTAAAAATTTATAAGGAAAAAATATGACATAAGGACCAGAACTTACACAAAATTCACAATTTTGGACCCAAACTTCAATTGCGCTCAATTATGGTCTTAAACTTTACGAAATTCTCAAATAAGGTCCCCATTGGACAAAAACTAACTTCCGTCAAATCTTCTACAAACACCGTTAATGTTTGTCACACTCCATCCAATTGAAATGCAATTGGAATTTTTTTTTTTCAGTAATTGACATGTCATACCAGAACTGAACCAGTACCCAAATTGGTGCTTCGGATTTAGACTCTAACCCTAAAGAATCCAAAAGAATTTGTAATACCTATTTGTGGGCGTGGGAGTAGGACTTCATGTGCAAAGGGTGAAGGATTTCGATAGTCAAATTTTGTTGCAGAAGTCTCCAGGTAAGACTGTAAGCGACAAAACTGATGTTGTGCTGATTGCTACTCAGAATATTACGGGTTGGGAAAGGTTTAGGCTGGTCGGAGAAAATGGCACCGTTTTGGACCAAGGCCTTATAGGCAAAAGAGTGGTCAGTGACAAAGATGGTAAGGTGAGAACTGATCTTGAAGGTGACCATTGGGCTGAACTTTGCGTGGAGTTTGCAAAGAATCAGTTCCATCTCAGAGGTGGATGTGAGTTTGCGGAGCCATAGGAAGGGCCAACAATGGGGATGGTGAAGGGGCCTAAAGGGAGAGAATGAGTGGGGGATTTGGTCGGAAAAAGGAGGTTGAGGGATGCTCTAAGAAGAAGAGCAACGGAAACAGTGATGAGGATGATGAACAAGACTTCCATCTTTTTGGCAAATTGTGATTGGACTAAAATAAGCAAAACATAGCATACCAGAAATTGGCATCCACATGGCAAAAGTAATTGACATGTCAACATAATTTTTTTCTCGTGACGTTACAG